TTCCATCTCCAGGACATGAGGCGGCACAGGGCCCTGAACACACTATCAGGCTCACAAGGTCACAAGAGCCAACAGCAGGAACTTGCTGGGCTTTGTGCTCCTCCCACAGGGCGTGAGGACACAGGTGCAGGAAGCTCCATCCTGGGGGCTGGGAACAGCCCCCCACCGCCATGTGCCAGGCTGGCTGCAAGTCTGTGGTAACGTTGTCCACCTGGCTGAGTGGACCCTGAGGTCAGACCCGCTCTGGAGACCCTGGTGGGCTGCTGCTGGCCGTGTCGATGTGGGCCAGGCTCCAATCGCTCCCACGGCTCTTTTCTCTTCCTGGGACCTGGGGTAATGCCAGGCACTTGCTGTCATGGATGTGAAGACAGAAATTATTTTACAGAGTCCCCCACGGCACGCTGTGAAGTCAGTGTGCATGAGGGGTTGCTTTCCCAGAGAGCAGGGGGTGAAAACCCTGGAGGACTGGGGAGGGCACTGTGCAGAGTCCAGGGCCACCTACAGTGCACCTCTGGGAAGAGCCACCTGAGTCTGTCAGTAGGTTATTTTTCTCCTGCCAGGGGAGAGGGGATGGGAGAAAAGGGTGTGGAGGGGGAGGGGCCAGGGCCCGTGGGCGGAGCCAGAACGGGTGGCAGATTCCCCCAGGGTGAGTGAGGCGGGTGCAGATACACCTGCACCAGGTGGTGGGCGAGAGAGTTTGGTTTTAGAGGAGCACAGTCCAGGAAAACAGTCTTCCCCGTGGATAACTCCTGGTGGTGTTTTACAAAATATAGACGTTTATTAAAAGCAATCCAAGGAGTGCAGGAAGGCACAGAGTGAAGAGAAAGCCCCCTGCCCCTGCAGTGTTGGGAGAGGACGGTGGCCGGGCAGCCTTCCTGCCCTCTCCCCTGACTACCCGGGGGCCCTACCAGGGTCCTGCCGCCGCTGTAACAGTCCTCTTTGCTTCTAGAGGCCGGAAGTTCAAAATGAGTCTCAAAGTGAGAGTCAAGGGGCGCAGGGCTGGCTTCCCCGAGGCGCAGGGGTCCTTCCTGGCCTTGTCCAGTTTCCAGTGGCCAAGTCACTCTGTTCCCTGCCCCACGGTCACATAGCTGCCTCTTCTTCTATGGTCAGGTGTCCCCAGCCTCCTGTAGGACACTTGATGGAGTTTAGGGCCATGGGGAGAATTGAGGGTGGTCTCCCTTCTCCAGGCCCTTGATGGAGCCACGCCACCCTCACAGGCACAGGGACTCACATGAGGCTCACGTTGGGGCCATTCTTGAGGTGACTGCAGGGACCAAGCCTGAGTCAGGCAGGGAGGGGCTGGCTGGGGCCTTACAGGGATGGCCCCAGGGCTCCGAGTCCACCTGGCCTACTTTATTTTCCTACATGGTCCCGCCCCCTATTGTCCCCATTGTCCCCAGCAACTGACACCCTGATGGGAACCCTGCTCCCCAAGACCGTGGGACACCTCGGGCCTTCCTAGGGGCTGGAGCCTGCCCCCGTGCACCCCCAGCTCCTCCTGCCCTCTCTGGGCCAGGTCTTTGCTCTGCTCAGCTGCCAGAATGACCCAGCACCCCCCGGCCCTCCCTGCCAATCACGCTTCTCCTGCCCAGGAACACAGCCCTGACTGTCACATCCACGGAGAGACCAGGAGGGGAGGCAGTGACGGAGTCAGAGGGCACTCAAAGGAGGCTCAGGCCAGGAGGACGGAAGGGGCGCTGAGCAGTGTCCCTGCCCACCCTCCACACTGCCCTCTTATCAGTGGGGCACCAGTCTCTCCCCAATGGGCCGCCATCGCTGTGACCATGGCCATGAGCAGGTACGCTGCCCTCCGAGCCTGGAGCTCAGCCGCTGGGGCTGCCTGCCAGCTGTGTCTTCCCTGGTCTGTAATTAGCAGCTGTCAGGTGGGCGGCTGGGCATGGACTGGAAATGCTTTCACCAGTGCCGAGCTACCTGCCCTGGAACCAAATGCCTCGCTCGGCTGGCACCCACCACTGTTCCCGAAGGGGAGGGAAAGGTGGATTTGACGCCATCAGTAGCCCCGTGGACTGTGGGCCCGTGGGCCCTTCTGTGGCAGGTGATCTCAAGGGCCTCCTCTTGGACCATTCTTAGGACAACAGAGGGGCGTTCCACTTGTGACACTGTCAGTAGCCTCACAAATGCCTCCCACGGATGAGGAGTCTGTGTCCTGGGAGGGCAGGGACTCCTGGGTCAGGGAGCTGGCTTTTCCTCCAGTTCCCTAGAGCCTCCCACGCCTGGTACGTGGTCAAAGAAGGGAAGGAAGGAGGGAGGCAGGGTGCGGGTGGAAGGTTGGTGTCCCCAATTCTTACACTGGAACCTGACCCCCAGTGTCTGGTGTTAGGGGGTGGAGCCTTGGGCGACTAGTTCTTGAGGGTGCTGCCCTTGGGATGGGACTAGTGCCCTCGTTAGGAGCAGAAGAGACCCAAGCCGTCCCTCCACCACTTGTCCATAAGGAAGCTCTCACGGACACCGGCCTCCAGCACCTGACGGCAGGCTCCCTGCCTCCAGACCACAGAGTTCTCCTGTTTTAATGCCTCCCTGTTAGCCGCGTCTTGTTAGCAACCAGAACACACTAAGACACCGTCAGCCCATTACACGGTTTTAAAATGGAAGCACTCAGAAGGGCGTAAGATTGTGCACATCCCTAACTCGTCCTCCTGGTTCCTGGGCCCTCTCCTCATTTGGTGCTGCCCTGAGTGGGGGTCCGACCTCGGGGCTCATCTCCCAGCAGCTCCTCCGTGCTGACCTGGGGCAGGACTGCCTGAGAAGTGGGTCTGACCTTTAGACACAGAGTCACCAGAGACAGAACCGTTCCCCGGGGCAGATGGTGATGGAGCCGGGGCAGCAGAAATGACTGAGGACTGGGCTTCCTGCGTGGGCAGCCGATGGACGGCTCAGAAGCCACGCAGCAAGGAGGACTCCCCAGATCTTTCAAGAGGACCGTGAGGGGGGCCCGAGGGGAGCCCAAGCTCAAATCCCACCTCCACCATCCTCCAGCCCCCCAACGCCCCACCCCAAGTTCCCCCAACAGGAGCCGGCAAGGCGGGATTCCACCTTCTCTCAACCCTCTCCAGGAGAGGCCTGGAGGAGGAGGTGGCAGGAAGATGTGGGAGGCACAGGAGCCTGAGATCCCCTCTTCCTGATAAGGCAGGGCACTGGGGCAGAGGGAGGCCATTAGGCTCAGCGCAGGGAGAGTTTGTTCTAGGTCCACAAAGCGAACACCTGCGGGGAGGGGCGGTGGGCCTCGGAGCTTCTCCTGGGAGGAGACCCAAGTCCACCTGCTTAGGAGTTTTCTGTCCTCACGGACATGGAGGGGTGTCAGGCCTCCACACATCATGACCTGAGACAGACGAGGAAACTGAGGCTGGACCTCCCTTCTCCACGGGTCCCTGAGGAGGGGCTCTCTGTGGCACCTCTCTCTGCCCTGGACACTAGCATTGCCCTGGCCACCAGAGACAGTTCTGCTCTGCAGCCTGGATCCTCTCAGTCTGGAGTGGAAAATACCTTTCACCTGCTGCGCTGACCTGAACCAGCAGATGGTACCTGTCAGGACACCGGGCCTGGGAAGCCATGAAGGCAGGCTATTTTCAGAAGCATGAATGCAAAGGAATGTGGAGAAGCAGGTTGGACCAGAGAGCTGGCCTGGAGTAGGGAGGGAGGACGCCACCCCTCCAGCCAGGGGACAGCCAGGCCGTTGGAAAGGAGCCTGTTTGGGGCTCCTTTTGTGGGTCTTGTTTGTTTGTTGTGGTTCAAGGAATAGAACCCAGGACCTCGTGCCTACTAGGCAAGCAGTGTCCTACCATTGAGCTGCAGCCCAGCCCACCGAGACCCTGTTTTTAACACTTCAGAGGCAGATCTGCCAAGGAGATCCAAGGGAGTCTTCAGACCACCTCGGCTAATTCACTTGTAATAGCAACCAGGAAGGAGGATTCGGTAATAGCCAGAATACGTAGCAGGGGCCACTGTATGTTTTGAATATAGCCCTTGCTGCTCTACCTCGGAGACTTATCTTTAAAATGAACTGTTTCCTTCTCCTCCTCTCTCCCTGCTCCTCCCTAATCTCCCCCTCCCTAATCTCAGGGAAAACGGGGTCACCTTTCCTCCCCATCCTAGGCAGGGTTATCTTTCCCTGAGCCCACACCCTCCATAGGAACAAAGTAATCCAGACTTTGGGGATGGCACAGACGATCTCAGAAATGACTATCTCCAAATCAACAAGTGAATTACACCTCCAACGGAGAACATGTGGAAGGTAGCCTTTGAGTCACCTCTTTAACAGCCCCCTGGTAACCAAAAGCTTGGTCCCTGTCCCCAGTGCTAATCAAATTTAATAATGAGGACACAGTTTTGAGAAAAAGGAAAATGAAGTTTTATTAGCAAAGCAATAACACAGGGCACTCCTGTCCCAAAGGCTGTAAAGCTCCTGTTGTGGGGGTGTAAAGGAATTTTTTAAGAGTTACTTTCCTGTATGGGGGCCCAGGGTGCCCTGATAGTGTTAGGATTCACTGGTTAATTTGGGAGACATCCACTTCCCAGATCTTCAGCAGACTTCTCCTTCCTGTAGTGGGTGTGTTCAAGGGCAGTTAACTGGGAAGCAAAGATAACACCGTCTCCCTAATCTTGTTAGGGAGCGGGAGAGGGGAGAGACAAAAAAAAACAACTTTCTTTTTTAAATAAACCTTAGATCAGTGAGGGCTACATCCAGAAGGTGAAGGGACCACTGTTACCCCCTGATGATAGGCAGAATCCCAGCCTCTGGGACAGGTGTCCCCTGTGTTTCTCCTTTGTAGCAAAACAAATCAACCCTCTTTCCTTTTTCTCAAAACTCTTCCTCCTTATGGGGTTGGCATCAGGGATAGGGACCGAGCTTTTGGCAACAAGGGACCACCTGTACACAGAAGGTCCAAAGTGTGTGTCCCTGGAGAGCCAGGAAAGGCAAGGAGGCCCCTGTCCCCTGCCGGCTGATGTCATTCAGTGCTCAGGGAGGTGCAGGGGGACATCACGAGGCCACTGTACCCTGAACTTGCTGTTGTGAAGCTGCCAGTTCACGAGGCTGGGATGGCCAGTTCTCCTGCTGGACTCTGGCTGAGCGCCCCGTCCTGAGCCTCCCGTTTGCACACTGCCCTGCTCAGGATGTTCTGCCCGATCCACAGAAGTCCCTTCCCTGCTGCATCTCAGTGTCGGCTTGCTGGATCAAGGATCCCCTCCCAGTGTCTGCACCACGCTTGGGACTCGTCTCAGGTGACTTAGCCGAGCCTCTGGGATTCAGGATTCCATCAGGATTCGATGGTGAGACCATGAAGCACCTTTCCCAGGTGGCCGGAGCTCCTGGGAACCTTTAGGTTAGGTAGTGGCTGCCCTGGCAGGAACTTGGGAGGTAACGGGTGGCGAGTCCTGCTCCCCACAGGTTGGAGTACTCTATCAGAGAAGCACAGAGGCAAGCAGGTAAAGCAGGGTTTATTTAAAAAGGGGTCACATATTCTCCCGGGAGCGAGAAGGGGGCCACAGCTGGTGTCCTGGTACCCCAAAGTGAGAGCGTCTGCCTTTTGTTCTAGGTCCTGGGCTTCCTTTGTTCTCCTCTGCCCCCACCCCCCTCTCCCTCCTTCCTGCGCAGGTGACCAGGCCCAGGGGACGCTCAGTGGGATGGCCAAAAGGTGAGGAGCAGATGGCTGGAGGGGCCAAGGCGGAGTGACCAGGGCAGGAAGGGGGTTAACAACTCCCGTCGGGAGGGACAGAGCCTGGGACAGGTGACCTTAGCCTCAGGTTGGAGCAGGGCAGGTTACCTGATAAGGGTGGAGGGAGAGCATTTCAATCCTCCTTCTCGGGATTCCCCCCAAGCCTATCTGCCTGCCTGATTCTGGCTTCAGTGGCTGCCCCAGCAGGAACTAGGAAGAGTCTAGAGTGTCCAACGTCCAAAGCCACCCTGGCTGTTGGTTAAGAGCATGGCCCTGGATCGTGGCTCCCACTCTGGCTGTGCCCCAGGTTCTCAACGCTGCCCTCCTCCTTTCCCCGGGGTGGGGTGGTGGGAGTCGCTCCCTGGGCCCAGTGAGGGCCAGCTGGCTCACATTGGCACTGAGGCCAGCAGGCCGCCTTGGCTGTGCTGTATGCCATGAGCCCTCCCTCGGCCCCCCTCGTGCCCCTCTCCTGGCACTTAGGGGCAGCCGTGTTCAGAAGTTTTGGGTCTCGGGAGGGTTCAAGGCACACATACCGAGTAGCACCCCGACCCAGGTCCGGCTCGGTACCCAGGGTTTCTGCGAGAGGCCAGAATGTGACGACATGGGGTCAAAGCATCTTTACAGTTAGCTCAGGTCAGAAACAGCCCCAGAGGAGTCGTGCAGACGGCCACATTTGGCCACCAGATGAGTTACAGAAAAAGCTCTTCTATTGATTTTGGATTTCAAACTTGATGACAAAGGCCCTCATCTTGCCTTGAAAGTTTAAGTGGAATCAGGGCCCAAGTGATGGAGTCCATGAGTGCGGTGGCCCCAGGGGCCGGTGGGGCTGGGAAGCCACATGGAAAGGGCACAGCAGTGTCTAGTTCCCGCAGTCAGACACTTGGGCAAGAGCACCCAGGACGTCAGGCTTCTGAGAAATTCCTGATTTGAAAATGTTGTTGATGAATAGGATTTAATAGGGGATCTGGCAAGGGAAGGCGACAGGCTGTTCGTCAGGCTCACAGGAGCTCCAACTAGGGAAAGCCAACATGGCACCCAAGTGCCCTCCTGGCCCTTGGGGACCGTCCCTGACCTTTCCTGGCTCTTCCCCAACCAGCTCCTGTCTCAAGGTCCTGATGGAGACTCTGAAGTGGGTGTCTCCTCCCCACTCTCCACTTCTATGCCCCCTTTTCCTCTTCTTCTTCTTCCCCTTCTCCCCCTCCCTCTCCCCCTCCCCCTCCTCCCCCTCCCTCTCCTCCCCCTCCCCCTTCCCCTCCCCCTCCTCCTTCTCCTATTTGAAGTGAACTCTATCTGGTGTTAGGAAAACACACCAACCTCCTAACTGTCAGCCTGGCATGGGCTGCCACGCCCACGTAGCAGGAGAGCTATGAGGACTATCAGGTCATTCAGCCCAAGTCCCACTTACTGGCTTCTTTCCTCTGCGGTCTCTGGTGCCACTTCACGCTGCGCCTGATGGTAGAATGCACGGGCTGGGGTGGTGGGTGGGGTGGGGGTCAGAGCTCTGCTGTTTCCTGACCGGGGTGTGCACCAGCCTGCACTGGGATGGGCTGCCCCTTCCTCCCCAGACAGTGAGCGGTAACAGCAAGGGTGTCCTCGGACTGCAAAAAACGCACCCAGTGTTGAGTGAGATCCCATGGCAGCACCCTCTCTGTCCACAGAATGTCACACGGCTCATCAAGTCTGAGGCAGCTGCCCTGCGTCTCAGGACTCTCCCCGGAGAGAGAACCTACCAGGGACAATGCCAGGCAGCCCAGCCAAGGCGCTCCTAAGGCCGCGGGTATCTGGAAAGACCCCGAACAAATGGGCTAAGCAGGAGACCCCAAATCCTGCATCCAAATCCTACAGGACATCGAGAGGCCAAGGCCTGAAGGCCAGCACCTCAAGCCCTGCAGGTGCCCCCACTGTGTGCCCTGGTCCCCACTTGGCCCTCCACGTCCGCCGCTGGGAAACACAGGGAGAGGAGGCCCCATCGCTGCCCGGGAGGCTCATTTGTGTTAGGGCTTGGTCCTGGGAAGAGCTGCCCTCCGCATCCAGGCCTGGTGCCATCTTCACCTTGTGGAGGGCTAAAGGAAGCTGACGGGTTACTTGACAGAATTTTTGTGGTGAGAACACTTAAAACGCTCTCTTCTAGCCATTTGCAAGAGTGCATCTTGCCAGGCATGGTGGCCCGTGCTTGTGTGGACAGGGTGGCCTCAGTGACTTAGCAAGGCCCTCCCTCAGCAACAGAGCAACAGCTGGTCTCAGAGGAAAAAAATGGGATGTAGCTCAGGGGTAAAGGCCCCCTGTGTTCAATCTCCAGTACAAAAATAAAAAGTGAAATTCTTGCTATTGCCGATGGTGCCCATGCCCCGAAACGAAGCCCTGACCTTCTCCTGTCTTCCTGAGGTGTCACACCACCACTGGCACGGTGGTGCCACCCTCTGCTCCCATGAGTTCAACTTTTTAAGACTGCAACACAAGTGAGGCACGCAGTGATGGCCTCTCTGTGCCTGGCTATTTCGCTTAGCGCCATGTCCTCCAGGTTCACCTGTGTTGTTGCAAATGACAGTTCTACACCCCTGTTATGGCTGCATAGTATTCCACCTTGTTTATGTACCACATTTTCTTTATTCACTCTTCTGTTGATGGAAACTTGGTTAATTCCATACCTTGACCATTGTGAATGGCGGTGCAGTCAACATGAAGTGGAGATGTCTCTTCTACATACTGATTTCAGATTTTTTGGATAAATACTCCGGAGTGGGATTACTGGATCACATAGCAATTCTTCCTCCTCCTTCTCCTCCTCCTTCTCCTTCTTGTACCGGGAATTGAACCCACAGTGCTTTATCATGGAGCCACGTCCTCAACCCTTTTTTGTTTTGTTTTGCTTTTATTTTTTTGAGACAGGGTCTCCTGAGTTGCCTAGGGCCTCGCCATTGCTGAGGCTGGCTTTGAACTTGTGATCCTCCTGCCTCAGCCTCAGAGTCGCTGGGATGACAGGCACGTGCCACTGTGCCCAGCTTCACATGGGAATTCTATTTTTAATATTTTGAGGAACCTCTGTACTGTTTTTCCATATTGGCTGAACGAATTTACACTCCCAGCTTCTGCACATGGGGAAACATCCAGCAGAGTGAAGAGAACTCCCTATGGAATGGGGAACACATTTGCAAAGCATACATCTGATAAGGGGTTAACATTCAAAATACGTAAAGAACTCAAACTGATAAAAAGATAAGCAAACAGCCTTATTTAAGCCAGGGATAGTGGCACACACCTATAATCAGGAGGCTGCAGCAGGAGAATCACAAATTCAAGGTCAGCTTGGACAACTGAGTGAGACTCAAGTCTCAAAAATAAATAAACAGACAGACAGACAAATAGAAGGTCTGGGTGCAGCTACGTCCCCAGTACCATAAATATATACCTACATACCTTGATTTTAAAATGAGCAAAAGACCTGAATAGGCATTTCCCAAAAGAAGACATACAGAGAACCAATGGGTAGGTGCAAAAAGGCTCGAATCACAAGTTACAGGGAAACGCAACCGAGAGCCACAGTGGCATATCACCAGGCTCCAGTTAGGGTGGCCATCACCAAAGGGGCAGGTGAAGTATGCCGGTGAGAGCGTGCAGCACAGGAAATCCAACATTTTCTGTGTTTGCTGTTTGCCATGCTGGGATGGAGCCAGGGCTTCGTGCACACTAGGTGGGAGGTCTACCCCTAAGCCCCCAGCCCCAGTGCACATTTTTGAAATGATGATGCTCCATTCTGGTGTGAGGGGGTGAGCGGGTCCAGCCACACAGGACTGTGGCGCAGATCCTCCAACCTGCTTAGAAGACTGTTGACACTCCCTCTCAGGAGCCTTAAAGACGTGCTCTCTCCTGACACAGATTCCATTTCTAGATGTGGAGGCTACTGCAGGGTGATTATCTTAGCAAATGTTGGAAGCCACCTAAATGCTGTCCAGCAGGGGTGGGCGTCCATGGGAGGGACACCACAGATGGAAAAGCACCTGTCCCAACAGGAGCGCTGGCCACACCTCAGGCAGGTGGGTCGCTCTGGGGAAAAGGAAGCGGCACTTAAACTGGACTTTAAGGAGAAGGGGGAGGTGTCCAGGCAGCAGTGGAGGGAAGAAGCCCCAGAGCAGATGGACAGGGAGCTCGGGGACTCCGTGGGTCTGGGAAGGGGTGGGCAGACGCGGTCGGTGTTGACAACGGGGAAGCACCGCAGGATCTGAAGCATGCCCTGCCCGGAGGGAAGTGCTGAGGCTGAGGGTAGACAGTTTGGAAAACACAGAACGTCGTAAATGGGAAACTCAGATGGCCACCACCTCACCAGTGTGGTGAAGGCCTGTGTCGCCATGGCATGAAGGGACCGGCCACATTCTGTGCCCCATACACACAGGTGGGCAGGTGTTGTACAAGAGAAGTCCCTCAATATAGGATGACATCATAACTTCAGAACCAACCAGTGTGGACGCCTCAAAATGAGGGACCATGTCCCGGTGGACTTCCTTCTCAAGTGTCCAGCATGATTCCTGGATAAATCCATGCTGAGTAGGGGGGATTTCCTCCTGTGAAGTCATCTTTACACAATCTGGTGTCCCTGTGTGCAGGAGGTGACGCGGGGAAGGACCCAAGAGCAGGTCAGCTCTGACCTCAGCCCTGGGCTTAAGGCTTTTCCCCTCCCCAGCCTCAAGGTACTTGTCCTGCCAATGGGGAGGGGCTGGCACACAGGCAGGCGAGGGGCCACCCTGGGACCCCAGAGCCAGCAAGCAGACTGAGGTGCACTAAAACAGGCCCACGGGAGAGAGCCTGAGTCAGGACAGACCTGGGAAACCCGGCAAGGTCTGTGGGGCTTGCTCCTTCAGGTGGACAGGTCCCACAGGAACGCTGGTAAGAGAGCAGACACGTCGTTAGTTAAAATGCCACTCACCGGAGGAACTCACGCAGCGCCCACCACGGCCAGTGGTGTGTTGTTTTAGCAAAGAACGACAATGTGAGCTCCGAAGACAGCGGTGGCCCTGGGACTCCAGCTCCCAGAACGTTGTAACGCCGGCTGCCTGCTGAGGGGTTCCACCCACCCCTGACACCAGAGAGCTCAGACCTGGACACGCCACTGTCCTCTCCTCTGAGGGGCAGGGGCACCTCTCCCTCCGAGGTCCCTTGCAGTCCTTATGTGAACCTCTGCCTGGGTCTTCCTTCAACTTGTCCTGCACTCCTTCCTGCGACAAATGTCAAGGATCTAGACCGTTCCCAGTTGAGGTCCCTCTCTCTCGGGGCCTCTGTAGACCACATCCAGTGACAAGAAGACTTTAAGCAGAAGAATCCAAGATCCAGCAGATGCCAAAGCAGCCTGCTCAGACCTTACTTTATTCAAGTAAAAATGACAACTTTCAGGAAATGTGGCTCCCGCAAATCCCCTCCCTGGGGAAAATGTATGGCCCTAAAGAGGAAGGAAAGCCCACTCCCATCTCGTAGACCAACATCCCTTCTCCTAAGAGCTCGTCTTTCCTGTAGAGACCTGTTGGAAACTCCCATGAAAATCGCTGTTCCCTCTTCTCTTGCCCTCTTCCTGCTCAGCTCAGAGGGTCCCCAAGCCTTTGACCATTTAGTGAGGCGGCTGCTTCTTTGGCTGGCTCCCTCGTGCCGTGAATCCAGTCCTTTTCTCTTGTTAATCTGACTCTTGGCAACTTAATTCGCAGGTCCACATCACTGAGCCAAAAGGGTAGAAGGAAAGTTTCTTCTTCCAAGATGAGGTGCAGACCACAGGTGACCAGAAATCTGACACAGAAGCTCTGCAGCAATGGGCCCAGAATGATCAAGACTTTGACAACTGACAGCTTCCCTAAATTTTGTCCCTGCGTTTAATGTGGATTCAACCAGTAAAGGTCAAATGTGCTCTCTGATCCATCACATGAGATGCCCACCTCAGGTGAGTCTGCCCAGCCTCCCCGTGACGACGGCTTCATTAGGACCCACCTGGAGGCTTTGTCCACTACAAATCTTTCGCCACCCCACCCGCGTCGGCCTCCGAGTCTCCGCCAAGTGCGAGCAGGGGTGGCTGACCCCTCCCACAGCAAGGGTCCCTCTTGTTCTCACCTGGGTGGTCTTCGCACATTTCCACAGGAGGACAACAGGGGCTCGTGCATGTCAGGCTCGTGATGCTAAGTACTGTCCTGCTAAGTACTGTCCGAGCAAGAGGGCTTGGCGAGGCGTCCCCTCCAGCCTCATGTCTGAAACTGCCCCCGGCAGCTGCTCAGCAGAGAGACAGGGAGAGAGGATGTGAAAATGGTGCATTGGGAGCTGATGGAAGCCAGTGGCTCCGCAGTCAAGCAGGGGACGGCTTTGGTCAGCCTGAGTGATGGACTCGGAGCTGCATTCGCACCCCAGCGAGCTGACCCATGACAGCTCCCAGCTGTGTCTCTGTCATTGGAACGGCCTGGTCACGGTGCCGTAGGAGCCTCGTGGGACTCAAAGGACAGTACAGGCAGCCTTGGCCCAGCAGAGAGGAGGCTTGGATGAGGGCAGGGTGGGGGCTTGGGCACAGTCCCTCCTCCATCATCCTCCCCAGGTAAGGCCAGGGCTCCAGTGAGGGCCAGGCTGGGAACAGCATTTGGAAAGCTGTGTCCCAAAGCTCAGGGGCAGCAGATAGCCCCCCTGAGGCCACATCAGCAGGAGGAGGGGAAGGCTGTCGACACCTCTGCTCTAAGGGAGGACATGGAGCCCAGTCCTCAGGACATTCAAGACAGGGACCTGCTGGCAGGGCCTGGGCTACTCCCTGAGGAGTAGGCTACTCCCTGGGGTTTTGCAGCTTGGCCCAGAAAGTTGCGGTTTGGACACGCTTGTGCCCGTGGCCTGGCAGGATGCAGGACTTGGCATCTGGCCTTCTGTGGGATGGGGGGACAGGCCGTGCCCTGACTCCCTCCAAAGAGCCCGTGAGAGTGGAGCAACAGAAAGCTGTGGCGTGGACACTCTCGTTAAAGGCCAGGCGGCCTCTTTGCTCCTCAGGAGGAAGGGCCCAGGGCTTTCTGCTGTGGGCCTGGGGGGCTCTCCCAGGCTCCGTCCCTCCTGCATTCCCCTTGCAAAGAGCAGAACTCTGGGGAGAGGTAGCTGCTTGGCACCAGCCCAGGGCCTCCGCCCACCCCTGGATGGCAGGCCTGCCCCACAGCCTCCGAACAGCAGCGCCCGACGCCACCTCACAGGGAGGGTCCCCAGGCCTGGGGTCAGCTACCTGTCCACAGCCTTCCCAAACTGAGGGGAAGTCGGCTCCCAACCTGGATGGAGAGGATCCAGTGTTGTGCCGTGAGGCCACACTTGCCAGGGAGTGAGAGCTTCCCTAG